TGGATTTAATCAAGAAGGCTCAGGTGGAGGGTTTGAGAAAGGAGAATTGGAAGGCCGAGCGGATCAGGGGACATATTCCCCTATTTTTCAGGCACAGTCAAGGGTTATTGACTCAATATGGACGAGTTTGGGTTCCGGCATCAGGTGGGGTGAGACAGACAGTTCTGGAGGAGGCTCATAACTCAAAGTTTTCTGTCCATCCGGGGAGCCACGAAGATGTATAGGGATCTGAGGTTGAGTTATTGGTGGCCATGCATGAATAGGGAGATAGATTGGTTTGTTGGGCGGTGCTTGACTTACAGGAAAGTCAAGGCCGAGCACCAGAGACCTCACGACAAGAAGCAGCCCTTACCCATTTCCATGTGGAAGTGGGAAGAGATTACCATGTACTTCATCACAAAATTGCCAAGGACGGCACGTGGTTTTGATTCTATCTAGGACATTGTTGATAGATTGATCAAGAGTATGCATTTCATGCCGATTGTCGAGAGTATATCCGCTGAGAAGTTAGCTAACATCTATGTTCGGGAGGTGGTAGTTCAACACGGGGTTCCAGTTTCGGGACAGGATATTCGTTTCACCTCCAGGTTTTGGAGGAAGTTTCAGGAGGAATTGGGTACTTAGCTGCACTTTAGTACAACATACCATCCCCAGACTGACGGCCAAAGCGAGCGAAAGATTCAAATGCTCGAAGATATGCTCCGGGATTGTGTGTTAGATTTTGGAGGGAGTTGGGATACTTACCTTCCACTAGCCGAGTTCTCCTACAACAACAGTTATCATGCTAGTATCGACCGACCGTCATTGGGGATGTTTTATAGAAGAAGGTGCAGGACCCTGGTTTGTTGGGGGAGGTTGGGCATCGAGTCATGGGGGCACAGAGGTTGTACTTAAAACCTCTGAGCTGATTTTGCAGCTGCACGATAGATTGCGAGTCGCACAAAGCCGGCAGAAGAGTTATGTAGATCGGTGAGGTTCGGACCTTGAGTTCCAGGTAGGAGACTTGGGTGCTTCTGAATGTGTCACCTTGGAAAGGTGTCATCCGATTTCAGAAGCGGGGAAAGCTGGGCCCCAGATTCATTGGACCTTTCAGGATTTCGGCCCGTATAGGCAAGGTTGCTTACCAACTGGATTTACCTGATGAGCTCAGCCAGATCTATAACACCTTCCATGTATCTCAGCTTTGGAAGTGTATGGCCCATGAGTCCGCAGTTGTTCCTCTGGATGATATTCAGGTTGATGATCGCCTAAATTATATGGAAAGATAGGTGGCGATCTTAGATCGGAAGATGAAGGCTCTGTGTAACAAGGAAGTGTCACCGGTCAAGTTCCAGTGGCAGCATCGGAAGGGTTCCGAATGGACATAGGCGCCTAAGGCGGAGATGCGAGAGAACTACCCATATCTATTCACATAAGACTTCGAGGACGAAGTCTAGTTCAAGTAGGGGAGAGTTGTAACATATATAATTTTTAGGTATTCGCTTTTAACCCTTGGGTTGTGTTTTGTTTGCAAGAATGGTCCCCAATGGAATTTTTGTTATTTTCGGATGCAGCTTAGCACGCTGGGCGTACACCTTGATATGTTGGGCATACTCGGTTCTGTGCTAGTACGCTAAGCGTACGCTGGTACGCAGGGAGTACACAACCAAGTTACAAACCCTAATTTTTAGGTTTTTGACCCTATTTAAGCACATTTATATCCTCATGCACCCTCTTATCTTCAACCCCCTTCCTCATTTTGAAACCCTAAGAGTGTGAGTGCTTTGTGAAGCTTGAATAGCCCTTTTTTGGTGTCATTTTGGAGCCTTGGTGTAGAAGGAAGAACCTTGAGGTGGTGGTGTTTCACTCAAGACTTTGGATCCATCATTTTCCTCTTCATTGTGCATCTTATGGAGGTAAAAAGCTTCAATCTTGGTGCATGTTTCTTATGGATCTAGTTGTAGCTCAAATTTGTCACCTTTTTGTCCTAAGTTTTTCTTTGTATGGGTGATACTCCAAGACGTTTTGATTTGTCCTTTTAGAGGTTTTAGGGTGTGTTAAGTCATAAAATGGGTTCTTGGTGATTAATTTATTCCTATGAATAGCTAGTGTGTCTTAATGGGTAAAGAAGTTAGGGTTTTTGGAGCTAGTGTCTTAATATCCATGATAGACAATAAAGTTGGAAACTTAATGTTTAAGCACATCTTTTTGAGTCTAGATCTAGATTTTGGATGTATGTGCTTAAGGATTAAGTACTTAATGGCTTAAGAGGATAGCAGCCGCGTATGCTGGGCGTACCACGGGGTATGCTACACGTACATGGTTAGCTCCTCGATTCTGGTCAACCATGCAGTATGTTAGGGGCACGCCCCGCGTACTCACTGAGTCAGCTTAGTTGACTCAGTTGACTTTGACATGGATTTTTGCTAGGATTTGACCTATGTTTATTTTAGGTATTTTGACCAATATGATGAGGTTGTGTCCTTGAATTTATTAAGGTGATTGGTAGAGTTCATCTCAGAGCGGCGTGCCATTCAGTTTGCTTATCTATTTGTAAGGTGAGTTTTCTCACTATATCCATGGGTCGAAGGTACCAATGCCGGCCCGTTACATGTTATGTAGAATGCTAGTTGTCTATATGATGGTTGCATGAAAGACCATGATCTGGCCCATGGCAATTGTATGAAAGACCAAGATTTGGCCCATGACACTTGTATGTAAGACCGAGATATGTCCCTCGACATTGCAAGGAAAGACCATGGGGGTAGCCCATGACACTTGTATGTAAGACCGGGATTTGGCCCTGGGCATTGCAAGGAAAGACCATGGGGTGGCCCATGGAACTTGTGTGTTTTTTTATGTGGTATTTTGGTGAATTCACTAAGCTTTGTGCTTACAGTTTATGTTTATGGTTTCAGGTACTTCCGGTTCAAAAGGAAAGGGCCCGACGTGAAGGCACAACATCCTCCCCTCATGATTTCCGTATTTGAAATAATTGTACTCTAATGTTTTGAATATTATGAATTGATGTTGGTTCTCAACAATTAATGAATGATTTGATAGACCATTAAATGGAAAATTTTCACCTCTATTTTGGGTTGTTACAGTGTCATAGTGAAATCTAGGGAGAAACGCAAGTTGGAGGTTTAGTATGGGTCCTCAAAGAAGTAGTTGTTCAATTAAATGAAGAAAGACCTACATGAAAAGCTGTAATACTATAAGAAATGTCATTTCTCACACAGACATCAATGTAACATTAGTACCGCGAGATGCAGACTGTATGGTAAAATGGGAAAACATCTTGAGGATTGCAAGAGAACTTAGTTGATGTGTTACAACTGCAGATAGATGGGTCATGTCTGTACTCAGCACACCAATCCCAAGGTCCAGATGGGTGCTGGTGAGAAGAAAGACCATATTCCTAAGGCAAAAGTATGTGCATTCACCATGACAACCGATGAGGCTCGATGCAACGATGAGTTTATTTTCGAAACCTTCTTAATTAATTTTGTTCATGTAATGTTATATTTGATGCGAGTGCCAGTAGATTTTTTATGCAATTTTCTTTATGTGATCAATTCAATTTACCTCAGAGTCCGTTGATGCCAACATTAGATATCTAAGTGGTCGTACAGGGATCCTATTGCTGTTTGGGAAAAGTATGATGATTGTATTGTTGATATCGCTGAAAATACTATTTTATGGACACTGGTTCCTTTTGGAGTCGGGTGTTTTGATGTGCTTATCATTATGGTATGGATTTAGCCAATCGAGATCAAAAACTTTATATAGAGAAACTTATGTGTATACCTCTATGGTGGGTGGTTATGTCATTCCATATTGAGAGAAACGTCCAATGTCTATGTCTTGAATTTGGTTACGAAAGCACACAAGTGCATAGAGAAGGGTTTTCAATATTCTTAATGATCATTGTCGATGCTTCCAACAAGAAATCGAGTTTGTCTGATGTAGAGGTGGTCAGTGAATATGTTGATGCTTTCCCCAACAATCTATGGTGAATGACAAGACTTCACATCCACATCTCGTATTGTTATACTCTTTTAGACTAGTTTCTTCTCTAGAGACTGTATAGGCGGTGATCTGGTAGAACTCTAGGTTGTAGCACGTAGAGTCCATATTGGCTACTCCGTAACCCACAAATTAAAACCTTTAATTTTTTTTTCTTGGATCTGAGATATTGTTCTAAAGTGACTTCTGAGTTGTGGTAATAAGGCTAAGATATATCCAACTTAGATCTGAGCTCAATTCGATTGGTATGCCTCTTAGATCCGAGTTGAATTCATCTTGCCAGAACTCATAGTAGAACTCATAGTGGTGACATTGTGTTCTTATATATATATATATATATATATATATATATATATATATAGAGAGAGAGAGAGAGAGAGAGAGAGAGAAAGAGAGTGAGAGTGTGTGTGTGTGAAGGAGAGAGAGGGAGAGAAAGAGAGAGAGTATGTGTGGGTGTGTATGCGCATTTGTGAGAGTGTGAAAGGGTGGGACTTGTTATTTTTCAATAATTTCAATAATTATTTAATTAAAACGAAATTAGTAAAGATAATATAGTCCATTTTATATATGGAATCGACTAAATTTGCTACAAAAATGCATGCTACTTTTTAGTCACATATTTTAAGATTTTAGTGGCACTTTTTTATGTGCAAAAATACAAAAAATGTTTTGTGGCACATTTATGCCGGTAAATACTAATGAAATACTATAATTTAGACTATTATATTTACATAATTTTTATCTATAATATAACATAAAATAAATAATTAAATATCAGCATATATAAAATCATAAAAATTCTATTTTATCAAATGAAAAAACAACATTTTCTTTTCCATTCCAATGGAATAAACCATTCTATTCCTTCCATGATTCCATCGTAACAAATAAACGCTACCTAAAAGAAAAATAAATGTATTTCCAACATTGCAAACAAATAGATATTCAATAAACCTTTGTGTGGCTTTCTAACCCATAATGATCAATATCAAGCCTATGTTTTTTCAGCTTTTAATTCCAACTAGAGGGGAATTAGCTGCGCCTTTGGCGCTGTGTTTGTTTTTTTTCCTTATTTCAAACTGTACTGTACCAAATGGTAGAACAGAGTATAATATTAATCAAAACATATTACATTAATTTGACCTGAAATGTTATATAGCTCATAAAAGTAAAAATTTCAAACATATTTTTGTTTAAAAAAAATGAAAAAATTCACCTTTAATCCATCAATGAGGCGACCTGGCATGCTTCCAATGTATGTCCTTCTATGGCCTCTAATGTCAGCATCATCTTTTACACCAACAAGAGATAATTCTTATGAACTTCCTCCCAAGAGCAGCAGCAATTGATGATGCCAATGATGTTTTCCCGACACCAGGCGGGCCCACAAACCTTGTTGATTCTATCATCTAAATAAGCCCCTATATTCAACAGGGTCAATGTTACTTTCTATATACGGGATACGTTTTTGCCGATGGTTTTGATAATTTTGGAACATTGCACACCTTGAAACAGAGATTTGCTTCCTCTGTTGAAAAATTCTTCAAATTCAAATCTTTGATACACCTAAAAACGCAAATACAACAAAAAATTTAGGGATGAAGTAGAGTAAGTAAGAAAGAAATTGACTGTTGGTGTAAAGGAAGATCACCTCGAGTAGGTGTAAAGGAAAAGGGAGGACAGTGAAAAGGAAGATCAGCTTTGAGAGTCTTCACACATCTGTCCTCGATAATATAATTTTCTGACACTTTTGCCCCTGTTATAGTCATGTTATCCTACAAGAACCAAAAAATTCAATTTTTAAAGGATTAAAATTGAGTTACCCCTTCTTTCAAAAGTGCTGCAAAGTTGATTGTACTTTGGTTGTGAAGAATTGATATGCAATCTTCTCTATTCACTGTGTATCAATAGATGGAAATTTAAATATCACATAACTAATTCAGAAAGATTATAACAATATGTATAGTAACAATGCATGAAAGTTTACCTCTTATTCTACAATAATAGGAAAGATCAACAATCTGTAAACAATTAAAAAAGTAAAATTATTAAAAATAAATGTGTACAACATCATAACGGGAATGATAAAAAAAGATTAGAGTAAATCATTAAATAGAATAGTTAATGTGACTCACGACCACAATTCACGAGTGAATGTTTAAGTTTGAAATATATATGTTCTATTCAATTTCGGGAGCATATTTGCATCTCGCTTTCTCTCATACACATACATGATTCTGCTTTTACTACTGTTTCTGCCTTTACTTAGTTTTGAGATTTAGCCACTAATATTTTATTTTTTCTAATTATACCGTAAAAATCTCCATGGCTAAACAACAAAAATGCTTCATTTGACAATTTTTTTGTACCTCTTGCTTGGCATTCAAGAATATGAATAGTAAACAACAAAAATGCTTCATTTGACAATCGTTTGCGATTCTGAGAACATATCATCCTGCTACCATGCCATCATAAATTACTATGTTTACAAACTATAAATATAATTTACTAAAGAAAAGGGTTGCAAATTGAAAATACCTTATTTTGTGAAAGAAAAAAAGAAAAATAATTTTAGACGAGTGTATGTGCTATAGTTGAGATTAAAAGATGAAGAAGCAAGTCCAATACGTGGACAATCCCAAAATTAAGTGTAAGAAGTTTGGCATTAAAAATAAAGTACTTACCAAATTAAATAACTAATAATTTGGCAACATATGTTTTTCATGTTTACCTTCTTCACCCAAAAATTAGATTGTTGCTTTTTTGGTCATGGCCTCTGCAAACATACATAAGTCAATTGTCTTTTAAGTATAAGTGTTTATTATTAACCATTATACTTTACAAAATGTAATCATACTTAAAAGACAATAAGGTTATACATGAAATAAAGAGATACCAGCAACCAATGAGATTATTATGCAGGAGGAACAGGAAGGCGTGGAATATAGATTAAAACGGCCAGTTTTGTAAAAAAATATAGTTGTACATAAAAATGCAAAACAAATCAAAACAAAAAGTCCTTAAGGTTAGAAGTTCAGATGGAACGTATGTCTTGATACAACAACCTGATAGAAAGATACCTTCCGGCCTCACCAGCTCATATGTCTGTAATCTACCCAATTCCAACTCTGAAGAAGATTTAGAAACCTGTTCATATGAAAAAAATAACATGACTGATGATTGATGACAGATAATAGAAACATGTACAAACCTGCAACATATTTGATCTATAACAGATAATAGAAACATGTTACCTTCTCTTGGGCATTTCCACAAACACTGCATGTGCACTTCCCTTTAGCATATTAACAACCTCTATACACCTATCTTTTTCAACCGACATGTAGAATATATACCCTCCTGGGAGAAGTAAAGCATAAAAAGATGTAACAATCGATAAAAGAAAGCTCATAAAAACCTAAGAATTGACTAAACAAAAGAAAAAAATTGATAATTAATCAAACAAAGGCCATAAAAACTTAAAAATCAACTAAACGAAATAAAAACTAAAGCATTAAATCATAAAATCGAACCTGAGACAAAGCTCATAAAGGGGAAGTGGTGATGGCGGTGTAGAATATATACCCTCGGCCCTCCTGAAAGAAGTGAAGCATAGAAAATGTGACAATCGATCAAAGAAAGGTCATAAAAACATAAGAATTGGCTAAACAAAAGAAAAACTTGACAATTAATCAAACAAAGGCCATAAAAACTTAAGAATCGACTAAACGAAATAAAAAGTAAAGGATTAAATCATAAAATTGAACCTGAGACAAAGCTCATAAAGGGGAAGTGGTGATGGCGGTGTGTGTAGAGATAAGGGTGGAGACAGGAGCGACTTGATGATTGGCCGGTCGAACGGCGGCTCTCGATGTTCCTGTCGACAAAGGTTGTCAAAGACGGAGGTGATGAAAAGGTGGCATGTAGGGTGGTGGTGGTGGTGGTGGTTATGAGATGATCGGAGAAGAAATTTTGAGGCTTTGAGGATGGCGGTGCTAACTTCTGAATGGAAGAGAAACACACAGAGAGAGAAGTGGTCAAGGGAAAAGGTTCTTGCATCTGGTGAGGGAAGAAAAATATAAACAAAACACAAACGAACCTTATTGGAGGAAAAGGGCGGCAACCGACGCTGACGAGAAGAAGATAAGCACGAAACAAAGTAGAAGCTACGGCAAGGTTGACGATAAGAACAGAAGAGAAGAATGGGAAGACGGAATTGTTATTGTGTCTTTAGAATGAGAATAAAAACTTCTGTGGCAAGACAGGAAAGAGAAAAAATTACACTGTAGCTAAGGTTTTAGGAATTATAGTATATACTAATTCATGTTCTTCACTAGTTTTCTAACATGGCAAATCAGCAAGAAGCTCAACGTAATCACATGAGCTATTATAACATGGTTGTTGCGCTTGCATTTTTTCAATCTCCTGATAAACATTTTACATAAATGTTAAAAACATTCTCATGAAAAACCAAGATACACTTATTTGTCAAAAGTTAAAAAAATGACAATAACCAAAATCCTATAATGAATGAGGTAAGACACACTAATAATATGAATAGTAAATTACATTTTTGGTCCCTGCAATTTGTTTTTAAAATTTTGGTACTTACCTAAGGCTTTTGTAACATTTTTTTGTCCATATTCCATGTAAAATGACTATTTTTGGAACCAAAATTGCAATAAGCTTTTATCTTGGAAGAATAGAGACCAAAAACTTTACAAGAACCACAATTAAGTAACAGATGTGAATTTATAATTTGTAAAAAAGTACAAACCTCTGCTTCAATCTGATGTAAAATAATAGGTACTCTCTTATGATATGTTCTTTCTTCTACCACCTTCAAATGCATCAAACTTGTCTTAATGAGTTAAGGACTGAATCTGGACAAATAAGAAACAGGCATACAAACTATATGTATACATCACTTTATCCAGACAGACGGACATGATGACAAACTAGCTAGTCTCTGAAGATCTATTAGAGATTACAAATACAACCGAAATGAACACATTGTGGTGTAATCGTAAGAAGCATAAACAAGTTGCATGAATATGATACTAAATTCAACTTAATTTGTAAATTTTGGACAATAATAAATTTTATATAGTAGCGATTTTGGCGAACCTACATATCATATTGATAAATAATGCCCTTAAATTTTATATATCAAGAAAAGATCTCGTCTATTTCAGGAAGGTGAGATTACGACTACGGTTTTGGAGCCATAAATTCCAAATCAGAAGCATAAATTCAAATTTTAGGCTGATTTTCACAACAAAAAATCTATATCTGATTAATTAAACTCGATGTAATCACAAAACAAATATCAATTGAAGCAACAATACAACAATATCAAGTGAATATAAGTACTTATAAGAAGAAACATACTTAATTAACAGATTGGCATTGAGGTGAGAATAGAAAGGAATTGTTGTATATATGCTTATTGTAACTACATCCTGTAATAAGAACCACAAATAACATAAGCTTAAACCATATATGAAAAGTTTTTTGATTCAAATATATTGGTTTTTGATCTTTGCTAACATAAACTTGATACAACCTGTAAATATCATATAAAACATAAATAAACAATAAAAATAGATTTATGAAAGTGGATTTACCTTAGATTTTCATAGACGCGAAGAACAATAAAATCTTGAGCCTTTGCACAAAAATCATAAAACCTCACCTATCCAATAGTTGTTCCAGCTGCTAAAGTGTGTCCATCATCATGTATGGCCAATGAAGAAAATGGTGCTTCACAATGTATGCAAAAAGAAGGTATTTGTATAACGTTTTTTATCTATTCTCACTGTAGCAATCATTTGTCATAAGTCAAACTTATAAAAGAAAGAACAAAATAATTGTACAAAAATGACGATTAAACAAAAGTTAAAAGTTAAAAGTTAAAAGAGAGACTTTGTCATTGGAGGGTGAAAAACTAACACCAACAGTTGGTGCAGAATGCTACTTTAACCAAGAAACCTTTGGGTTCCAATAGTTGTGTCCCACAAATGAACAGATTCATCATTGTCAGCTGTCACTGAAAGGTGGTTGTTAATCTATTGATAATCAAGTACCCCTTAAGACCTGAGAGCTCGAACCAACAAACAAACATCTAGAACAATCAGAAATACGAAGGTGCATGAATTATAAAGACCAATAAGAACTAAGATTCTTAATGGTTTTCTGATAGCCATAAAGTTGGAGAAGAAGACACACCTGCCTATTAGGATCCTTCAGTTTAGTAGCCCTAGCGCCTGATGCAAGGTTGTGAACTATAAGATCACCACTAAGACTAATGGAAGCTAAATGTTCATATTTGAAATTGTATCACATATGTTATTGTGTCTGTATGACCTTGTAAGTACTTTATACACCTTCTGTAAATTCCATATTCTTACAATTTGGCCACTTCCATGAGAACAAATGTAACGAGACGCTTTGGAATTGAAGTTGATTGGAAAATAGACTCTTGCAACATGGTATTTGGCCTAACTAATACAAAGAAGATTACATACAAACAAGATTAGAGCTTAAAATCCTCCATAATTGTAAATAACATGTTGATTGTCTTATGAAATTTGAGAGGTAACTTAAAACATATAAAAGAAGTTAAAACCTTCACTTAGACATTATATCCAACAATTGGGATTTGTAATCGAAAAGTAGAAAAACACCAAATTACCCTTCTTCCATAATTTATCCAGTTTTTCTTGAACCTTCAGCTTCAATCAACCGCTATGTAAAGGAATTAAAGATCTGAAGTAAAAATCAAAGATGGAAATTAGGGAAAATATTAGTACCTTTTGTCTGATCAAATAGAAAAACGGATTACAAAACGTGATGTTCTCCCTTCAAAAAAACATTCAGAGTTGCATGATCAAACTTATTGATTTAAGGTATCTTTCAAATATGCAAGTCAATATATACATAACCATTGATGAGAAAAATGTTAATTAAGCGAATGATCGTGAGAGAGTTGAGCATAATTAAGCTAGCATATAAGTTTAACAACAAACTTTAATATCAAAGAGAAAATTCTCAGTACAAAAGTGATAAAGTTAAATCAATGGATTATGTTACCAACAGGGGAGAAAAACTCACCAGAACAGTAGAACCATGCCGATATTTGTTAAAAACTCTCAAAATCAACAATATTAGAATGAATTGCAAAAGAAACTAATGTAACATCCATAAAATTTGAGAAAATTTAAAAATTTTCAACCATTTAAAACCATTAATTATTACAAAGTGTTTTCAAAATATTTTCATGTCAGAGTATCCCAGAAATCAAAATCATAAAATGTGAGGAGTTGTACGATCATGCCTTCGCCTTCCCGTGATCATCTGATGTACCTGAGACCAAAACTGAAACTGTAAGCCCGAAGCTTAGTGAGTTCCCCCAAAATACCCATACACACAACAATATACATATAATCACAAACAGCATACTATGGGTCCAATCAACCATCAGTTTGGAATACCGCAGGCCCTCAACCATTTGGTTGGAATGCCAACATACTATGGGTCTACTTATCCCTGGGATGGAATACCCCAGGCCCACAACCTATCGGGTTCGAATGCCCACATACTACGAGTCCAATCATCCTCCGGATGGAATCCTCATGGCCCACAACCATCGGGTTGGAATGCCTAGGTATGTTGGCTCTCACACAAAGCAGATAAGTCTCAACCACCAAACAAACATGTGCACATATATCAGATAATCACATAACAGTCTATAGACAAGAAAACCGATCTAACATATCATAATAGCATAATAACATCCTATCTACCAGGATACTGATCTAACAGATCATAACAACATAATACCATCCTATAAACCAGTATACTGATCTACAGATCATACTAGCATAACATATCAAGATAACCATCCAAGAAGGGTCGGCCTTGGTGCCTTAGACCCTTGAGTATAGTGAGGAAAACTCATCTCACAAGTAGTTCGAAGTGATAAAGTCAAACTCCACCAAATTCAGCTCCAAGTCCAACACCTATATCCACCAATGATTCCACTCCATAAATTCCCAATTTACCAAAATACCCTCAAAAGTCCAATTGGTCAACCCTTAGTCAAAGTCAAAGTCAAATGTAACGGTCCATGTTGACCCGACTCGTCGAGTGCAGCTAGCAACTCGTCGAGTTCCTCAAGAACACAGGGAGTCATAAAACCCTAACTGACTCGCCGAGTTCATGCAGGTCCAGATGTCGGGAAAAACCCTAATTGACTCATCGATTCCTCTTTCTAGATCGCCGAATTCATGCAGAATCAGACATGGGAAACCTTCATCCGATTCGCCGATTTCATGCAGAATCAGACACATGCAACCTTCATCCAACTCGCCGAGTCGGCCAAGCGACTCGTCGAGTTCATGCAGTCCATTTCTTATACAAATATTTTTAAGCCACCTCAAAGCTCCATATTGCCGATCCAACCTCCTAGGACATGGTTTCCACGTAAAGTTGCAAACTTTACGTACATGCATGGTCCTAAATGCCAAAACTAGACTAAGGGAAAGGTTAACTTAAAAGGAAAGGCCCAATCTTGCCAAATCTCATAACTTTATAGCTATAGGGACCAAGGGGAATCCATATCTGAAGTTACAACTTCAGATCTTGCCCTAACACTTGAAATGACTCCCAAATGTGCTAAAGATGGCTCTAAACCCAAACATGAAGAGATCTAGCTAAAGATAAGCCAAGGTAATGACTTGTTACCTTCAAAATGATGCCAAGATGAAGTAGAGTTAGATCCACCAGCTCCTCTTTGCTCCAAGCTTCTTATACTTCACACCTTCTTCACAAAATGCACCAAAATCACTCTTTAGGCCTCACAATCACTCAAGAAAAAGGTTAATGGTGATTAGGGTTTCTCTCAGCCGTCAAAGGGGTGGTAAAGGGCTGGAGGAAGGGACTTAAGGTCATTTAAATAGGGTGCAAACCCTAAAATTTAGGGTTTCATCTCCCAGCTCCTACTCGTCGAGTCCGGGTTCTCCGAATCGTCGAGTAGATCTAATAATCCACATGGGCAAACTCATTCCTACTAGACGAGTCATGGCATCCAACTCGTTGAGTAGACCTTCCAAAATGAAAATAAAATTGTAAAGCTAATAACTGGGAGTCGGGGTGTTACAATTCTCCCCCAATTGAACTAGACTTCGTCCTTGAAGTCTGCTACGGTAAATAACTCAGGGTAATGCTCCAGCATCTCTGCCTCTGGCTCCCAAGTCCACTCAGATCCCCTCCGATGCTACCACTGTACCTTTACCAAAGGTACTTCCTTTCTCCGTTCAACTTTTACCTTCCTCTCAATAACTGTCACTGGTCTCTCCACGTAATTCAGGCGCTCATCGACCTGAATATCATCTAATGACACTACTGCCTCCTTATCCTAAATGCACTTCTGCAACTGTGAAACATGGAAAGTGTTGTGGATCTGACTAAGCTCCTCTGGGAGATCTAGTCTATACACCATCTTGCCAAACCTGGCAGTAATCCTGAATGGCCCGATATATTGGGGACCCAATTTCCCCCTCTTCCGGAATCGAATCACACCCTTTGAGGGTGAGACCTTTAGGAGTACCATGTCACCGACCTGAAACTCCAACTCAGATCGACGCCGGTCGGTGTAACTCTTCTGCCGACTCTGTACGATCTGCAACCTCTGTCTGATCTGCTGAATCATCTCGGTAGTCTGCAAAACTACCTCAGTCCGACCCATCACCCTGTGATCAGCCTCGCCCCAACAGACTGGGGTGCGACATCTCCGTTCATACAACAACTCATAAGGCGGATCACCAATACTAGAGTGAAAGCTGTTGTTAT